AAGCTGCGACAAGGACGGATGGAGTCGCCAGGAATAAGAGAGGCAAGAAAAGGACGAGGCCGGGCAATAACACCACCAGCAGCGGCGGATCGTCGGTCATGGAGGTGATTGCTACTGCTACCGCCTTGATACCCGCCCAGAAGAAGCGTGACAGGCCACCTACTACGTTCAAGGGAGTGGGCACCAAGGAGAGAAAGGAGAGAGAGGCGGAAGAGAAAAAAGAAAAGGAGCTTATCAGGCTGGAGAGGGAGATCCGGGACCTCCTCGACAAGGGAATGTATCGTTCGATGGACGATGCACGTCCGGCCGAGGAGGTATATAGGGATTCCGCCTCCGCCGAGCTCCTCAGGGGGGCCAGAGCTACGGAGCTGGCCTCGGAGGTGGGCCGCGCGTTAGGCGCGGTAAAAATAATTGTGCAGATGTCCCGGAAATGGACCCTGAAATGGACATTTGTAGGCCTCATCAACCGCGCCATGGCCACCTCCGAGGCGGCGATGGCCACTCTGGTTGCAAGGGTGGCAGCGCAAGAGGGGGAGGGCGGCGACTCTTCTGCCCTCAAGAAAGAAATGGAGGGGCTGAGGGAGGAGAACAGGAGAATGAGTGTTGAGATGAGGCGGCAGACCGAGGAGCTGAGGGCTCTCAAGGCCGCCATCAACCCTTAGCCTCCGAGAGTATCCCCCTCTCCCCTCCAATTTGAGTTACAGGAGGAGGAGGACCTACGCGGTCGCCACCGGGGACTCCACGTCTACGGAGGACGAACTAAGGGACGAATCCTCGAGAGGAAGAGGAAAAAGGAGAGGAGGACGGGGAAGCCTTCCCCAACTTTCCTCTCGGGAAAGGAGTAGATGAAGATGGGGAGAGGGGTTTCCTCCGAGGAGGTGCCGTCGTTAGACGACAACCTCCCAGAGGAGGCCCCTGCCCCGGTGGGGAGACCGGAGGGGGTGAGAGAGGCCCTCGACACTACCTTGGGCGCTTCGGGTTCTCCTGGCGGCTTTGGGGCGGGCTTTGACAACTTGAGGGTTGTAGTGGCCCGCTTCGACGTCGAGAGAAGGGGCAGCCGCGTGTCTGAGGTGGCAGGGGCCTCGACACCAACTCCGGCTCCCAGGAAGAGGGAAGGTCAGGCGTCAGGAAGGACTCAGGCTCTGCCACTATCAGTGGAGCCTGGAAAGGGGAAAAAGGAGAAGGCAAGGAAGAAGAGAGAGAAGGAGAAGAAAAGAAAGAGGAGGATGAGGGAACGGAAGAGGGCCCTAAATGGTGGAGATAGGGGTCCACCTTCAGGTTCCCAGGCCAAGAATCCGGGGGACCAAGAAAAGGAGCCGGGAATGGGAGTCCCGGCGAAACAACTGAAGGAGTGGGTACGTCGTCCTGCCCAGAAGGGGCTACTGGAAGCCCTCAACCCGGGAGGGGAACGGACACAGGCCAAAGAAGAGGAAGAAACCTGGGCGCAGGTAATAAGAAGGGGTAAGAGGAAGACGCAGGGGGAGGAGAAGGGAAAGGCCAAGGGAGGGCCCCCTAATCCTCCCCCTAAGGTAGGACCCAGGAGGGGGCGCAGATGGCGAGGCAGGGCAGGCTGAAGCCGCCAAGATCGGCGGCTGTCACTATCAAGTGCCCAGAAAGCCGATACCAGGAATTCATGGTAGAGGCCAGGCGCCGGATTCGAACAAAAGAACTGGGGATCGAAGCATCCCTGAGGGTCCGCAAGGCTCTAAGCGGGGCCATGATGGTCGAGGTGTCTGGCCTCAAGGCCGGGCCTTCCGCCGGCTTGCGGGGGAACTCCGCAAACTGGCGGCGGAAAAAGGCCCCGGTTTTCGGGTCCAGAGGCCGGAGAAGTTCGCAGCGTTGCGACTCTCCGGTCTGGACGCGACAACCGGGGCCGATGAAGTGGCTGCCGCCGTAGCACGCGTTGGGGGATGCACTCCCGCGGAAGTGTCCGTGGGAGGTATAAGCGTCTCCCAGAGGGGCATAGGGGCGGTGGTGGTGCGGTGTCCGCTGGCGGCGGCCGCGAAGGTCGCTGCCGCGGAGCGGGTCCTGGTGGGATGGACCTGCGCCGGAGTGACGGCGCTGCCCGCTCGCGTACAGTTGTGCTTCCGCTGCTTAGAGCTGGGGTACGTGCGCGAGAGGTGCACGAGCGTCGTCGACCACAGCGGTCTCTGTTACCGCTGCGGTAACCCCGGCCACCATGCCAAAGATGTCAAGCGGCGGCCAAGTGCCCTGTCTGCGCCGAGGCATCACAAGATCGGTGGGCCGGCTTGCAAGCCCCCTCCCAGAAGGAGAAGGAGGGGAGGGAAGAAGGAGCGAGGAGGAAAAGAGACCGGGAAGGGGGAAGTCGTAGTGGGGGAGGCCCGAACCCCCGCGGAGACCCCCTCCGACCGGATGTTTCAGGTGGGAGGTGTCGGACCCGACATCACCCCGACGAGGGATCCTGTGGAGGGTGTCGGCCCTGACCCCCCTCGACGAAGGATCCTGTGGAAGAGAGGAGGCGACACGACCACCGTCGAGGAACCAGGAGGATGACGAGGTGGCCTCGACAGTGTTGATGTCACAAGAGTTGGGAGAGGAGCAGCATGGATGGGACTCCTCTTCTTCCTCCCCCACACAGATGGAGACGTCACCCCTCGAGAGCAAAAAGAGGCCGGTGACGAAGGAGAGGGACCAGCCGAAGGAGGAGACATCGGATGAGGACCCTGGCCTCAAGAGGAAGGAGAAGGTGAGAAGGGTGGAATTGGAAATGGTGAAGCCCCCAACAACCGTAGAAGGGGAGCCGGTGGGAGTGCCATCCCCGACTCCCCAGACGCATCCCCCATACTCCCCAGGGGAGGGAATTGTTCAGGTAGGGACCTCCCAAGCTTCCGCGCAATGTGAGGTACCCGCGAACGAGGCCACCAAAATTGAAGCCAATGCCCCCTCAGGGGAGACCGAAGCTGCTCAGCCGACGGAGGTCTCCCAAGAGGGGGCGGAAGTAGATAGTCCGGAAGAGGCGGTGAAGGCCTAGCCTTCACGCTTTTCCGGGTTCTACAGTCCAACCTCGGCACCGGCACCCAAGCTCAGAACCTGTTTTGGAACAGAATTTTAGAGCTGGGTACCGGGCTGGGGGTGGTCGCCGAGCCACATTGCAGTCCCCGTCAGAAGGACGCCCGGGGCGAGGCTCTCATGGATTGGGCAGCGGGGCTAGACCTCTTGCTTATTAACAAGGGGTCGGCCAGAACCTGTGTGCGGCTGAAGGGGGAGTCGGTCATCGATTTGACCTCGGTAACCCCTTCAGCCGCCCGGTTGTTCCGGGAGTGGATGGTAAAGGTAGAGGGTGAAACACTGTCCGATCACCGGTATATAGTGTGGGTCCTCCGTCCTCCGCCTCCCCACACCTCCACGCGTGCGGGCGCCCCGCTGCCCCGGGGAAGGGGACTTTCTCCTCCCCAGGAGATTGGCTCTCAGTCGACTTGACGCGGATAAGTTCAAGGCAGCCATCTTTGTGGCCAACTGGCACTTTGAGAAGGAGCCGGGTGAGTGGGCTCTCAGCTCCCTGGAGGGGACTGAGGAATTAGTGGGTATCGTGGCGTCGGCCTGCGACGCTGCGATGCCCCAAGACCACCCTCGCCGTCGTCGGGTTGCCTACTGGTGGAGGGAGAAGATCGCGAAACTCCGTGACTCCTCCGTCCAAGTCAGGCGGTGCGTATATCGGGCCCGACGAAGAGGCGAGGATGTCACGAGGGCGCAGGAGGGCTACCTGACTGCCAGGAAGGTCCTCCGAGCCGCCATCGCCGAGACTAAGCAAGCAGCCTGGGAGCAAATGATGAGCTCCCTGGACGACGATCCGTGGGGGCGCCCGTACAAGAGGATGATGGGCAAGACCCGCCCTTGGGCGCCCCCGCCAACGGAAACATTGGACAGCCAGGCCCTCGAGGGGCTCCTTGACACCCTCTTCCGAGGGTGGAAGGGCCTCCTCACCCGAATTCCCGCCTCCGAAATGGGGGAGGGAGACTGGGAGGAGGGCCTGGCTGTGGGACCGGAGGAGCTCATCAAGGCCAGGGGAAAACTCGGGGGAAAGGGGAAAGCCCCGGCCCCGACGGGATCCCTGGCCGGGCCTGGGCTCTTGCCCTCGGCGAGGAAAACCTATCCGCGTCCTTACGCGGGGTTCTAAGCGGGTGTCTGAAGGAGGAAGTATTTCCCTCGGCATGGAGGAGGGCCAAACTGGTCCTCCTCCCCAAGGAAGGTAAGCCACTCAGGAGCGTGTCGGCCTACAGGCTGATATGTTTGCTGGACGAGGCAGGCAAGGTGCTAGATGCATCGTTGTCGACCGCCTCGTCCAGCATTTGTCCTCGGAGGGGCCGGATCTCCACGACCGTCAATACGGATTCAGGCCCGGGAGGTCGACACTGGATGCAGTGCAATACCTCCGGGACCTGACCGGGACGGTCGTGGAGAGAGGGGACCGGGTGTTGTTGGCGGTGTCGTTAGACATTAAAAATGCCTTCAACACCCTGCCCTGGCCGGAGATCGGATGGGTCCTCGAACACCACGGGGTGCCTGTTTATCTCCGGCGGATATTGGCGGCCTACTTCGAGGACAGAGACCTCGCCTTTCCGAAGGAGGGCAGGGTCCAAGGCCGGCGCGCAATGGAACGCGGTGTTCCGTAGGAGTCGGTGCTTGGCCCCCTGCTATGGAACATCGCGTTTGACCGGGTGTTGCGTACCCCGCTCCTTCCAGGCTGCCACGTCGTCTGCTATGCCGACGACACGTTAGTGGCGGCCGGGGGGAAGAGCTAGGGAGAAGCTCACCTCCGCGCGGAGGCTGCAGTGGCATCGTTGGTGAGAACCATCGTGGACCTGGGTCTGAAGGTGGCGCCTCAAAAGACTGAGGCCGTGTTCTTTCACGACGGCAGTCTAGGGGCGTCGCCTGCGACTCAGGTCCTAGTCGATGGCGTCCGCATCCGCGTCGGGCCAACGATTAAATATCTCGGCCTGACGTTGGACAGCCGTTGGAAGCTTGGCCCGCATTTCAGGATGCTGGCCCCCAGAGTGCGCGGGGCTGGACTGGCAGTGGCCAGTCTCCTGCGCAACTTTGGGGGTCCAGGATGGAGGGCTCACCGCCTGTGCGCGACTGCTGTCCTATCCATCGCCCTGTACGGGGCGCCGATATGGACGCCCCAGCTCAGCGCCTGTCGCGATGGCTTAAGCCGCATGCGGCAGGCGCTGAAGCCGATGTTCATCAGGGCGGTTAGGGGGTACAGCACGTTGTCGTACATGGCGGCGACCACCCTGGCCGGTTTCCCTCCCATGGAGATCATTGCCGAAGAGCGGCGAATCCTATATTGGAGGATTAAAGAGCTCCGCAAGGAGGGAGAGTTAACGGCCGGGGACCAGCGGGCCTTACGAACCCAAGCCGTGGCCAGTACCCAAGAGATGTGGAGGGACAAGTTGTCCGATCCACGAGGGTACGAGCGCCAGACGGCGGAGGCTGTCCGCCCCTACCTGCCAGAGTTGGTGGGTAGGAGGGGATGCGGACTGTCCTACCATCAGGTGCAGGTGCTAACGGGCCATAGGTCCTTTGGCAAGTACCTGCACCAGATAGGGAAGGAGTTCACCACCAGGTGCCACCACTGCCCCGTGCTGATGGACATGGTGCTCCACACCTTGGCCGCATGTCCGACCTGGAGTTGGGAGCGCCGTGTCCTGGCAGGGGCGATGGGGTGCCCAGTAGGAGACATCTCGCTCCCGTGCATGGTTGAAACCATGTGCGGGAACGAGGAGGGGTAGGAAGCGGCGGCCTCCTTCTGCAGGGATGTTATGTCCAAGAAGGAGGCCGCCGAGAGGGAGCGCCGGGCAAACGAACCCCGTCGCAGCAAGCGATGGGGCGGTCTGCGACCCAGGGGGGATATAGGTAGCGGGCCTGAGGTGGCACAGGCCGAGGAAGAGAAAGGTACCCTGGATAGCAGGGGTCCAAGCCCTCCTCGGCCTCCTCGGGCCCGCCTCCGTCGACAGGGGGATACGGCTCTTCTTCTTCCTAGAAAAAGATGGATCCCCCCTGTCACGGACATGTAGGGATAGGGGGGAGTGGTGTCCCGGTTTTGGACGGGCCCGCTCCCCCAGAAACCTTCCCTCGCTCCCTAACGGGGAAGGGCGGATGCCCCCTCACCCCATAAGTGAAACCAGAAGGCCAACCGGTCGGTCTTAGACCGATCGGGACCGCGCCCTGGATTCCCTTTGCGGAACAGGACGCGGTAACAGGTGGCGTGAAGCTCTTGGAAAGGAGCCCTGGGGCTGGAGTATTGGGAAGGGAATGCGTGAGCAGTGCCCCTGACTCCCCACAAACCGGTCCGATAGGTAGGCATCCCACAGGGGTTTTAGTCGGTAAGAGTCCGACATAACCCCCGACCCTCCAAAGGGTCGGGGGTATCCATTATGGATTTCCCCTGCGTCACCAAAAAAAAAAAACAAAAAGAAAGGTTCATGAAGTATACCATACATATACAAATATCTATACAAAATTTCAAGTTAATCGGCCATTTACTTTTTGAGTTATATTGTCCGGCGCGAAAAAGGAGCGTTATGAGAAAAACGCGTTTAAAGTTTTCGCAATCGAAAAATTAAGTTTAGAGTGATTTATATTTACCTAAGCTTAGTCTGCGATGCCAGGGCCGTAAAGTAATCCTTCCTCTTCTATAAAAACATCTAATTGTGCTGCATTTTCCTCTTTTTGAGCAGTCCTGGCCTCTTTTGACGCATCTTGTGATCGTTGATCTTGCCTCTTTACTCGATTCTTATCATAAGTATCAGCACATTTTTTGCATTCCGGGCCAATTTGCAGTTCTAGGTCGTTCATAACTCTCAGTACAAACATATATCCATCGTTGAACATACCTCCGGCCAAGTATGCAGCAATTTCGATGATTTTTGAACCGCAGTTTAAATGCTTCGGAGCCAGACGCCACACAATTGCGTTGAAAGATTCGTTCACATTCTGTGTGAAGCCGCCCACGCATCGTTCCAACAAGTCATCCCGAGACAAATCTTCATAAATCGGCAAAATGTGCTTTTGTACATCTTTGTGCAGTGGTTCTGGATGTTTAAAGACAACATTTGTGGCTTTTGCAGCGTTATATACACACCACGAGTCGGCGCCAGTAGGGCAAAAATGATGCTGCGGCTATTTATCTGTCGAAGATAGATGGTAATAAGTGGCCATTATTTCTTTTTTCATATTTTATTTTGAGTGTGCATTCCTACGAATGGCCAGACTATAATATTTTGTCAATTTTTTAATTAAAGCATCTGTAAGCTTTCCTTTTCCACCAAGCTTAGCAGTTTTTTTATATTTCTAAGGCGACTCCCCATCCTCTTTTCGACATGACCTACGCACTCACTTTTTATCACTTCAACATCTTCATACGGCTTAGCTTCTAGAATAGCCTTAAAAGTTTTTACATTACCATCTCCGACGTAATTAGTATAATGTACATTAAAATTTTCCTGAGAACGACGAAACATTTCAAGCACAGCGTCGACCTCCATTTTACCTGCAGATCCTTTATGAGTTATGGCACAATTTTCTAGATACTCTGCACTCTGATCATCGTCAGCGTGTTGCCGAAAGTAGGTACATGCTTGACAGTAGCTGCTTTTTACGATTAAATCAATCACTTTACCCGAGTAGTAAGCGATAAGAGTCGTCACGCCATAGAGAGAGGAGAACCCGCGTTTTTTCCACGATCCGTCGCCGCTTACCGTGAAATTTAGTAACGGCTTTTCATTCTTCTCATTATTTCTTTTCTCCTCTTCTACTGCAATTTTGCAACTCCAAGCAAAAATCTTTTTGATAGACGAATGTATATGCTATATTATACGGTCGTAAGCTTGTATAGATAATCCACCGCCTAAGTCCATAATACCACAAAAAATATTGATACATTCTCGAGCAACATCGAGCAAGCGCATGGCAAAAACAACACGTCTATTTATTTCATTACCGTCTTCATTATTTCATAACCGTTGTGAATAAACGGTCCTGATTGAATGAGGAAAGTTCCGCATCTACACTGTACTGCAATTTTGAAACCAAGACCTCTTTCACCTGATTGTCCAAATTTAACTTTTTGCTTGCACACTTTACAGACAAGTAAATCAGCGAGAGCAGAGAAAACACTGATAAATTCAATAATTCGATAACACATACTAGGGTTTACAATAACATCTTCCGCTGACGCCTTCAATTTCTTTGCAGACGCGCTAGTTTCCTCGTTCACCTCCTCATCGACTTCCACGTTCGGTACACTCGAAAACTGATTGCTTTCAAATCGCCGACGACGAGGCCGGTTAGGACGACGGTTTGGCTCATCCTTTGTAACTTTACGCATCATTTTTGCACATAATATAAAACAGAAGCGATAATTAAAAACTACGACACAGCAAAGAACGATATACTGTTAGTGAGTTGTCTCTCAGCTGTTTGTTTGGAGACAAAAAATTATGGTTATATACACATTATATACACATTATATAGATCGAATAAGTTATAATATTTTCTTTCGAACGATAAAAGTGCCATCTACTACTCAGAGAGCAAACTAATAAATTTTTTTGCACAAGAAATCGAAAGGTAAAGGCCGGAAAGCGTGCGCGCTCATATACCTGCTTTTCGTACCATTAGAACGCATCACTTTGATGACTTCTTAGGGACTTTTAGGATTTGATTTAGGCTTTGAAACTTTGGAAATACATTCTTCAGATGGTAAATGAATTTTTCAAGCAATAAAAAAAAATGCTAAAAGAAAATTTTACATGAAGTTCCCCCCTTAAGTATAGAATAAAGCTAATTTATTTATATTATTATTATCATCAACCATCTCGCTGCTTTCCTCTTCACCGAACCCGGACTCTGACGAGCCTTATCCGCACAAAATGCGTAGCAACGACCGAACCGCGGAATTCAGCCGTTACATGTTATAGAAGGAGGGCGTACTAGGTGGCGACGGGACGCCGTGCGTTCGGGACCTGCATCTCATTTTTCGTTCCGAAGAGAGAGAAAAATATCGAGAGCGCGGTAGTCGCTAGACCGGGGGGAATCGAACCCGGGTGTCTTTCGTTTGCCGGGCGACTGCTCTAAACCACTGAGCTACCTGACGCTCCACGCTCACGACATTCTCCTCTCCCTAGATAACGTTGAGAGATGTCGTTCGGAAGCGACATCTCTAGTGCTATCCCGAGCGCACGGCGACTACAGAGAGAGGCATTGTTACTTGTACCTAGTCTTTCGCTTATTCGCAGTTTCCTTAGTTACTTCAAACTTAAAATCTCCCACTTTATTTAAGTGATCCGCATAGTAACTCCACGCCATTTTTATTTGATATTTGCCACATGTGTACAATTGGAGCTGAAAATGATCAAGTTGGGGAAAAAATTTATTTTAAAAGCCTCAATACGTTGGAAGTACGATTTTCGTGCATTGAAGTTTTCTTCTCGAATAAAGAGAGAACATTGTCTCTGTTTGAAAAGCTAAGCATTCGTTCAGTAATAAGTACGTCAATACTAGATATAGTCGGTAGCTTGAATGTCATGTTTAATAATGCACAGGCAATTCTAAAATCCTCAAACATATATGGAATTGTAGTATTTTGAATAGTTTTGTCAAAATACTGAAATGTTTTTTAATTCTGCCATTTAGAACTTCAACAATATAACAATTTTTTGTTACGAGCCGAGATTGATTTGCTTGAGTGGTAGTTAGAGGAGCTGTTGGAGTATTTGAAAAATGAGGCATTTTTGGTGCGAATCCTTTCTCCGATATTTTAGAAAGGGAATCTCTAAAGCCACGATCGACTATTAAAACATCCCCAGCTTCGAATCTAGACCAAATATTTGTATCTAACAATTCATTTAGTATAGCCACGTCATTATTGTTTCCTGGATAAGGCCCAAAAACCCCTCCTATATAGCCGTTAGTAAACACAATCATCATTGGCTTAATCAGGTCTCGCTTCTTGTGACCGGAATACGTTTCTCGTTGAAAAGAAAAATTATCGCTTTTTTGAATAAAAATATAAGTGCCGTCCAACATAAGAATAATGCGATCATCTGAAAGTGCATGTAATTGTGTAGCGACTTTTGTCTGATGGGAAACCAATTGATGATAGTCGCAACCCAGGGAAAGATATTTATTGCAAAACGATTTTGATAACACTCGTCTGATTTCTTCGCAATTCGAACTTGCCGTTTGTCGAGTAATACTCCAACGCAATACAAGTTCGTCATATGTATATCCCCGACGAAGACGGGGGAAGTAAACAGCAAGAGCAAATTCAGCATTGCGAACATGTAGTTGTCCATCTTTTACAAATTGCAGTAGGTACTGGAACCGTTTTCTATTAAGGCCTGTTTCAAATACTAAAACATTATCGGACGTGCTAGAAAAGTATACAACTTGAGGATTCAATGCCTTCTTTCTTTCGTTGATCACCATGTTTTTCATTGTTTTGAAACATAATGCTATTTCATTGGCGTTCAGCGAAACAGAAAACTGAGAAGCTGCAAACTCGTCCGGAACTTTAAAAGAATCGCCTTCCCCATGAGAACAACAAGCACGTGCACCATATGGAACGTATATGCTTTCTCTGGTCTGAATAAAAACTTCAAGACACTCTTCTCTGGAAAGCCGTCTCAGAACTCTTTTTTCGCACCTAAATACACATTTGCTGTGAGACTCTTGAGTACCCATAAATAGCAGAATGATACTCTGATTTTCAGTGGCAGTCTCATCAACA